CGCAGTCTGGGCGTGTTTCCACAAAGCTTTTATGTTGAAAGTTAATAAAAATAATATTTTTTGCTTTTAAAGTTGATTTAGTTGACTTCGGCCGACGTTTTGAGTAAACGGACCCGGACTCGTATTTTGACAGTCCCAGTGGGTCCATATAAAAATATGGGACCTGGGCGTATACCTGGAATCGAATTTTGAGGTCCCTAGCTCGAGAAATGAATTTTTGATGAAAATTGAAAGACTTAAAATTAAATGGTTTTAAGAATTTGTTAATGTTTGATCTTGTTGGTATCGGGCCCGTATTTTAGTTTCGAAGCCCGGTACAAGTCCAAAATAAAATTATACCTTATCTGTGGAATTTGGTGTGAAACGGAACTGATTTGACGTGATTCGGACATCCTGTTTGAGGATCAGGGTTTGAAGAAGACATATCTGTACGAAGAAGAAGAGAAGATTGAACGGCCAAATATGGAAGACTTTTCCATGAAAGAAAAGACAAATGATATATTTATACTCAGAAGAAACCGTCAAACAAAAAGGTAATGATGAAAACGTCATAATGAAAACTGTCACTTCATGGTTGATGTAGCCGTAAAAAACCCTAAAAGGCGCTGGGGAGTTACAGAACCAATCGTAGGGCACCACGCGTCACACGCATTAAATGGAAGTGACATACAAAGTGTCAGTTCAGAAGAAAGTATAATGGTATGTGGGAAAGGGCGGTAAAATTCCCACTTTAATGAGATCCACTTCCCAAATATTCATTGTTGAATAAATGGCAAGTGGGGGGGGGGGGGGGGGGAGGGGGGACTATCTGTATTGGGAAAAAATCGCTATTACACTTAGAATTAATTATGTGGCTGACATGTCAAGACGCGTGGATTTATTAGAAGAATGACAGCTGGCAAAGAGTACTTAAAGAGACACGAATATTATTAGGTACGGGCGAAGTATCATGAAGAAAAGAAGGAACGGTCACTCGGGCCTCTTGATAATTTGAAGAGACACTGGTGGAATGAACCAAGGCAATAAAACGTATAAATTCATAATGTCTGTAATTAATGAGCGTAAATGATAGGAAACGTTATAGAATCTTCGCGAAACAGTTATGATTGCTAATTATAACATTTTATTAATGTCATTAAATTCTCATAATGGCTCTATTATGAAAGGAAAGAAACGTTGTACTTGGAAATAGCTATAAAAGGGAGAGAAGTAACATTTGTATGGGGGACACTGATTATTATTGAAATATACTTATTTACATTGCTTATTCGACTACTTCTCAGTCCGATTTTCTTTTATTGTGATACAATTATTTTCTTTTTTTGATTATTAGTAACCCGAGTTCTTCTAAAATTATGCTTTGACCAAATTTCCTATTTTTTGGTTAAACATTGTTGTCGTCACAAGAGCTACTAGCCAAACAGATGGCTGGTGTATCTATCAAAGAAGGGGAAGGAAATGCTCTTGTCGGTGATAAGAGAAACTATAAAGGGAAATCATGAGATAGCATGTACTTTCAATCCTCAAGTGGTTCAAGCTCGCCAGGAAAGAAGGGGGAGTCTTCCAGTAACAGTAAAAAGCTTTTAAAATGTTACCGTTGTGGCAAAGTCGGGCATATAAAAAGATATTGTCGAGCCAAAGAGAGCAATATGGCTCAAACCAAGAAAGTTGCTGAAGAAGAAGAAAAAAGAAGAAGACTGGGGAAAGTGCTTCGCAGCGGAGACTCGAGAAATAAATGCCATGGCTTCCATAAATTTTGAAAGAGACTGGATCGTGGATTCAGGATGTGGGCACCATCTCACTGGAGATCAATCCAAATTCTCCACCTTTCGCAAATAAAACGGAGATGATGTCATTGTTACAACGGATAATACAATCCATAATGTTGAGAAGGAAGGCAGTGTTGTGATCAACGAGAAGCAAAAAAGATACTATCACCCTCAACAGTGTGTTTCATGTTCCAGGAATGAAGAAAAATCTATTTTCAATTGCAAATGCTGTAGATGTTGGAAACTATTTGCTATTCGGCCCACATGATGTGAAGGTCCTTCGAAATATGAAGGTGCTCAAGGCAGATATCGTTCACTCAGGTAAAAGAGTTAACGATTTATATGTCTTATCTGCCTCTAATTCATATATTGAGAAGATGAGTAGCAATGATAATACACATCTTTGGCATGCTAGACTTGGACATCTAAGCATGGACAAATTAAAAGCCATGGTAAAGTTGAATCTAGTAAAAGGTTTTCCTAACTTAAGAAATTTTGTTGGAGGAGAGGTTTGTGAAGGATGTCAATATGGAAAGGCACATCGTCTTTCATTTGACAGATCCTTGTCAAGATGCAATGCCTCACTAGAACTTATTCACAGTGACTTTATGGGGCCAACGGGAACTCCTTTATTTTTAGGCTATTCTTATATGCTAATTTTCCTTGATGATTTTACTAGATTCACTTGGGTTTATTTTTTGAAGCACAAGTCAGAAGTTTTCAGTAAGTTTGTGGAGTTCAAATAAACAGTTGAAGGTGAACTCGATTCCAGAATAAGGCGGTTGCGAACTGATAATGGCGGTGAGTTCACATCAGATGAGTTTCTTGGAAAAATAAAGTTGATTTTTCGGAAAAATATAGAATCCTCTAGAATGTCCTAGTATAATATCCTTGATATTTATCTAGTAGACATATCTAGATGTTCTAGAATGTTGTGGGAAGATAAGACATGTCTAGATATTCTAGAGTGTTGTTAGAAGATAAGGTTGCTAGAATCTTCTTTGTACATTATCTAGAATCATATCTAGAATTATCCATAGGCTAGTATAAATAGGGGGTGTCTTGTTCATTTGGAGAAATGCCTAGCATGAAACACGTCAGGGTTTTTAGCTCTATTTGTTATGTTCACATTCTAGATTCTCAACGGAGCAAGTTAGATGCCAAGGCAAGGAAATGCATCTTTGTCGGATATGATGAAAGAAAAAAAGGGATGGAAGTGCATGGATCCTAAAACTCATCTCTTTGTTGTCTTAAGGGATGTCATATTCGACGAAGTGTCTTTGTATTATGGAGCTGCATTGGATGGAGCAAGTTCAAAAACCTTAAATACTGGAGATTCAAGCTTGCCCATTGCAGGTGCTTCTTTAGATAATACAGCCGCCGAGGAGTTAAGAGAAAGGGGGAGTCCTGGACCTCAACAACATGAAACTCAACAAGAAGATAATTCAAGTGGTTCGGGAAGGCCAAAAAAAACTATTATCAAGCCAGCTCGCTTCTGAGATGAAAATTTTGTTAGTACGTATTCCTGTTTCTTTGCAAGACAAATTGATGATGAAGAACCTTCCTCATTCGAAGAAGCTAAAGGAGTCAAAGAATGGGAGCTTGCTATAGATGATGAAATGGAGGCTCTGATGAAAAATCAAACTTGGAGCCTTGTACCAAAGCCGAAGGACGTACAATCCATTTCTTGTAAATGGGTTTACAAAATCAAATGAAGAGCATATGGCAGCATAGATAGATATAAAGCAAGGCTTGTTGCTCTGGGATTTTCTCAAAAGTACGATGAAGATTATGAAGAAACCTTCAGTCCGGTGGCTAAAATGATCACTGTCCGAGTTGTGCTAGCCTTGGCAGCCTTGCATAATTGGAAGTTATGGCAACTTGACGTGAAGAATGCTTTCTTATATGGAGAGCTTGACAAAGATATTTATATGGAGCAACCACCCGGGTATGTCTCTAACTTACATCCTGATTATGTCTGCAAACTTAAGAAGGCTCTTTGTGGCCTCAAGCAAGCTCCACGAGCATGGTATGGAAAAATTGCTCAATATCTACATTTTTGTGGCTGTGATGCATCACAATCAGATCCTAGCTTATTTGTTAAAAATCAAGGAGACTTGCATATGGTTGTTCTTTTGTACGTGGATGATATGATAATAACAGGAAACAATAAAGATGAAGTTTCTAGGCTTCAAGATGAGCTTTCCATAAGATTTGACATCAAGAAGTTGGGAGAGCTACACCATTTTCTTGGCTTAGAGGTGACAAACATGAACAAAGGTATCTTTGTCACTCAAGAAGGATATGCCAAGAAACTTGTTGATAGGTTTGGATTGAAGCAAAGCAAAACATGTTCTACTCCTCTTGAGATAAGTACAATGTTAAGGCGGGACAAAGGCTCACTTCATGCCGATCCCAAGCCTTTTCAGGATCTTGTTGGAAGTCTCCTGAACTTGACTATTACAAGGCCGGACATTGCCTTCTCAGTGGGATATGTAAGCAGATTTATGAAAAGGCCAAGAAAGCCTCACTTAGAAGCTGCAAACAGGATTCTAAAGTATATCAACTCAACATCAGACATAGGCTTGTTCTTCCAGAAGAAGAATGATTTGGTGTTAGCTGGTTATACAGATGCTGATTTTGGTGGTGATTTGGATGACCGAAGATCTACATCGGGCTATATATTTCTCTGTGGTGGAACAAGTGTTTCTTGGTGTAGCAAGAAGCAAGACTCAGTTTCCTTGTGAACCACGGAGGCGGAGTATAAAACAACTGCTCTTACTGCTCAAGAATGTGTATGGCTACAAAGACTTGCTGAAGACTTGCATCTACCTATATCAAAGCCAACTATGATCTATGGAGATAATCAAAGTGCCATCAAGCTTGCAAACAATCCAGTATTCCATGCAAGAACTAAACACATTGAGGTGGAACATCACTTTATTCGGGAAAAATGTTCTTCATGGAACTATCAATACTTTGGAAGTGCGAAGTCAGGAGAATAAGCGGATATCTTCACCAAGTCACTTGCTAAAGCTTCGTTCAAGTTCTTCTGTGACAAGCTTCGAGTAGTTTCCAAAACATCACTTTAAGGGGGAGTGTGAAAAAAAAATAAAGTTGATTTTTTGAAAAATATAGAATCCTCTAGAATGTCCTAGTATAGTATCCTTGATATTTATCTAGTAGACATATCTAGATGTTCTAGAATATTGTGGGAAGATAGATATTCTAGAGTGTTGTTAGAAGATAAGGTTGCTAGAATCTTCGTAGTACATTATCTAGAATCATATCTAGAATCATCCATAGGCTAGTATAAATAGGGGATGTCTTGTTCATTTGTAATGAAGCCAAATTCAAGAAAGTCTTCTTCAATAACAAAGTTTTCCTTTCAAAAATCTCTCTTCTCTTTTCAAGCTTTCTCTTCTTTAGTTGAATCCTCCAATCTTATTTAACGATCTTGGGCTAGCAGAAGGTTTCCAAATAATACTCTTCTTCTGCTATTCTTTATAGCGTGCAAACTTTGCTACACAAGGTACAATAGAAAATGAACATATAAGCAGGGAATAGATGAACATACCTGAGTGCAAGTAACAGTTTGGAAACATCTAAGTTCCTGACTAAAATCTGGCACTCCAATACTATGATGCAAAATCCTGTTAGTCCCATGGTCATTGGAATTAGGCCCACCAACAATACAAATGAGAGGCAAATTCTCACTGTAGGCCCCAGCAATATCATTAAGCACACTCAGTCCCCCTACAGTGAACGTCACTACACACGCTCCCACCCCTTTCGCACGTGCGTACCCGTCCGCAGCGTACCCAACATTAAGCTCGTTACAGCAGCCGATCAAATTCAGCTCCGGCTCGGCTATGAGATGATCCAACAACGTCAAGTTGAAGTCACTGGGAACTGAAAACACGTCCTTCACGCCGATTTGTACAAGCCGCCGAGCCAAGTGACGACCCAGAGTTCCAATTCCACACGGTGAGCTCGCTGGAACTGAATTGTTTCCCTCCATTTCTGAATTCTTGTTTGGTGATTTTAGCAGCGAAATTGATTTAAAGTTATGGGTTTGAAGATTGTTGTGAATTGTGATTAAGGGTATCATGAAAGTTTATGTATATACTGTACTAGAGTAGTACGTAGTTGCTTACCATCAGAGTGATGGTTTTGAAGGCAGTGGGCAAAGAAAAAACTGCCACCTGGACACTGGAATGAATGAAAAGTAATTATAAGGCTTTTTCTTGGAAAATAATTGATGGATTATTCAAATGATTTGTTTTTGGAAAAAAAAGAATTAAATAATTAGTTTCTGTACATCTTGGTTTGATAATGGAGAATAGAAAACCAGTTATTTAGAAGAAAACAGAGGCGGTCTTGGTTTTATTAATGGTTTTCCTAATAAAGCAATTGTTTAATTTTCAACTTGGACTACCAGTTAAATGTTGAGTACTTGGTTAACAGGTAATGGGTATGGTAGAACTAGCAATATGTTATTGAGGTTTTGTTTTATTTTTTATTTTGCTGGTTTTCTTTGTCCCTACTCCCGATTAGTGGAATGGTATGGTAGAGAACAAAGTGTAGCTGTGCTACGGAGAGAGAACAAAAACGTAAATGTAGAATTTGCAAGTATTTCCAGTGGCGGATCTAGAATTTTTAGATTGTGGATGCTCAACTATTCTTAATTTGAAAATTACTACTTAGACTGGGTGTTTATTTAATATATTTATATAAATTACTAATTTTTTTATGTAAGTAGTAGTGTTGTTTTCAAAAGCAATGGATGTTTAAGCACCCATATGACATAATGTAGATCCTCCATTGAGTATTCCATGGGTTAACACATACTAATAGAGTTTAGTTTCAGTAAATATAATAAACGAGTGGTTTGCGTAAAATCTACATTATAGGCTGAAACATAATATGGTTATGAATAGCTAGCACAAAAGACGAATTAAATATGCGGAGCAATTAAGATTAAAAAATACATGAGCCAGCTCAATACTAAATCATTGAGGTAGCTAGGCTGGGCTCAAGGCCGGTCCTAATCTCTGGCTTCTTAATTTTGAGAAAGCTTCTTTCTTAACTTTCTTGAGAAGTTCCTCAAGTTGGGCAATATCTTCTGGACCCCCAAACATGAATGGCGTATCAAGCGTATAATCTGCACAATTATCGATCTCGTTTATGGCGTTATTCATCTGATTGATGACTTCTTTTAACTGGCCTTTATGATAGTTTTTAGTTGCGGCTTCAACAAACACAGAAACTTGATACAATAAGTGAATGGCACACTCTACGTAATCGTTCGGAAATAATTCCTTATGAGCTATATCATTGGCCAACCGAAGAGCCTTTTCAATATCATCTTCACCCAAAGATATTTCAGTAATGAATGTGAATACTATTACGATAATGCATATGGTACCAAAGAGACGCGCCATTTATTTTAGCTTCTCTTTAATTTTTCTCTTTTTGGGTTCCTTCTAGATTTGATCAAGAGTTTTCCTTTATATAGTTAATTCTGTATCCATAATTAAATTGCATTAATTAGGATGTTGATTTAATTCTCTTCATCTATTGGGCTAGCCTTGAATAAATGCAGCTTTTAATTTAATTATATAAATTCATCTAACCTTAGCGTATAAAGTAGCTTTTTACGTTACAAAATGTGTCTTTTAATTTTTAGTTACAAACATTGTCTTTGGCCAATATCGGACACATGCATGTGACCGATATTTTGTTACTGTAACGACCTTTCTTCATATGTTCGTTACATACTTTATGTTGTTAGACATCTTAAAATTATTTTTATTATAAAGGGCGGAATATGTAAGACGGTGGCAAGGTGGTCAAGCGCACATCCTTCATTGAAAACTTATACTGCATATATAAGTTAAGGTGCATCAGTTCCTTATGGGACTTAATGATGTATATGTTGGTGTGAGGAGCAACCTGCCCATGATGCATCCTCTACCTTCTCTTGATAGTGTTTACACTATCCTTCTCCAAGATGAAAGGCAAAGGCAAATTAGTCCTTCATCTCAGTTTCAGGCTCAGGCATCCTCTTTCAATGCAAATTTCAATAACCCTGCCAGCAAACCAGCCAATCCTCCACATCAGTTCTTTCAGAAAATTAATTTTGATCCAAGTAAATCTAATCTGCTATGTAGATACTGCAAGAAGCTTGGTCACACCATTGAAAAATGCTATAAACATCATGGTTTCCCTTCCAACTTCACATTTACTAAAGGGAAGAAAGTAGCTGCAATGTTGAGGTTCAACAGGCTCCTAATCCTGATTCTCCATCTGAGCATTCTTCTGAATCCGCCTCTTTGATTCCTGGTCACAAAAGAGCAATATACACAAATGATGCTCCTGCTACAACAGAGTCATGTATCAGAACAAGGCCATCAGTCCAGTCTCATGGCTTCTGCAGACTTAATTCCTCCTTCTGAATCTGTAAGAATTGGTTATGGTACTTGTATGTTAACTAGGGTCAATGATTACAATTGGATTATAGAATCTGGGGCCACTAATCACATGACTTCAAACAAAGATCTACTCTTTGATATTAAACTCCTTGTGTGCCCTACCTAGACACTCTTTCAAATGGTTACAAAGTTAAAGTAACTTGTACTGGTTCAATACATTTTCTTTCTTTTATGTGGCGGCTTTCTGTTTCTCCTTTTCCCCTTAAGGTTACATTCCTTAATCAAATTAGGAAAACACAATTTGATCTGTAGAACCTGACACATATGTAGCGACCGCGTGGAGCTTGGGATTTTATGTGTGTCTTTCCGTTCAGCAAAGATGGGTGATAGAAAAGCATCTTTTCGTTCATGTGGGTCATTATAGAGAAGGAATCCCCAGCATACCAAAAAAAAAAGTGTAGTGTAGGATATGTTGCCAAATTATTGACGAACAGAATATCAAGATTTGCAATAATATACAAACCTAGCTAGAGTTTTTCACTTGGTAATTAGGCAGTGATCATTGGCAAACTATCCATCTATTATATATTACTAGCATGCTCACATTAAATATAATATATTTATAGGAAAACATATGCTTATTTTAGGATGTTTAATTCTCTTTTTTTCTTAAAGTAATTTCCTTGTTTTTTTATGGGAAGAAATCATTGTTGGCTGTTTTATTTTGCTTAGCCCTCGAGAAATTGAAATTATGTGGAATTTATTGGGATATTTGCCTATTGAACATAAAAAGGTGGCAACCACGTGAGAAATGGAAAAAGACCAAGATTTTTAGGAGGAGGAAAAACAGGTGCAATTATTGAACCCATTTATGCCAATGTCAGGCTTGAAGCAGAAAAATAGTACTAATATAACTATTACTTCCTATGGTTCATACTAAGTGATTTTTTCATTTTTTTATGGTCCAAAATATCTGATTTTACTATATTTCAAGAATGATTTAATTATTATTTTTTCCCTAAATTGCCTTTGGAGTAAATAGTGTTGGAGTATGTGTTAAGAGTGTTTATGTGAAGAGACAGTAAAGGTTAATAAGTCAATTTTATTATTAATTAGTGTTAAAAGGTGTGTTAGGTTTTAGTTTTAATGATGAAAAATAATATAACTGCTTTTGGTATAGGAACTCAAGGAAGCATCCAAGATTGAAGAAATCAAAAGGAAGGAATCAATTAACCATCTGAAGATTCGAAATGGAAATCAATCAGAGATTGATTGAAATGGAAAAGAAACATCGAAGATCTTGCAAGATAATCAAGATCTTGCAAGATAATCAATCAAGCTGCTATTTTCGGAAGGATCAATAATCAAGGAGTAAAACTCGCGTTATCAAAGCATGTAGAAGGAAAGCTATCAAAGAGGAAGAGCAACGGCAAGCTGCTAATTTCTGAAGGACCAACAATCAAGGAGTAAAACTCGCTCATCAAGATCTGTAGAAAGAAAGCTATCAATGCCCTCTCATCAAGGAAAAGCAACGGCAAAAAACATTATTCTTTGAAAGAATAAATCTCTTTCCAAGGATCAAATCTCTTGGGTTGTCAAATCTCTTCAGCAAACGGCCTCCTACAAAGTATTTATACACAACCTTAGGCTTAGACAAATATACTTTGATCGAACCAAATACCCTCTCTTTGTTCTACTGCAAACAAACATTAATTGTAGCTCTACTAGATCTGTTGTGTAACAAGTTAGAGAAGAAAGAGAGAACAACACTAGTGAGGCATTGTATCAAAGAGAAATGAGTGATATAGGAACTGAGCTATTTGTGTAGATCACACCATTCAAATATGTACTCGAGAAACTCATTCATTGAAAGAGAACTCCCTTGCAACCTAAGGGGACTGGAATTGGATTCACATTGAATCTGAACCAGTATAATAATTCGGGTGTCTTTAATTCTTGCACTTTATTTCTGCATATTAAATTCTACCTTTACTGTTATCAAGTTATTACATCTAGTCGACTAATTAGAAAACTAGTCAACTTGTAGCGATTTAAATGTAAAAATAAACAATTCAACCCCCCCCTGTACTTTCAAATTGTATCAGAGCAAGGCTCATATTTTTCTTTTGCTTAACAACTTGTGAGAAAAGATCATGGCAAATCAAGTTATTATAGGAGCACTCTTCCAAGAAGGAACTGCGCAAGTGAGGCCACCATACTTCAATGGACAATATTTCTCTTACTGGAAAGTGCATATGGAAATATACACAAAGGCCTATGATGTTAAACTCTAGAGAGTTATCAAAAAGGGGAACTATCCTCTACTGGCTGTTGCTCACGACTTGCTGATCCAGAAGATATACATTCATATGCAGATGAGCAAATGGCTGTTGTACAAGTCAACAATAAGGCAAGGAATTTGCTCTACAATACTATAAGTGGTGAAGAGTATGAGAAAATCTCCAGTTGCGATACAGCCAAAGAGATGTGGGATAAACTTGAAGTTACATACGAAGGAGCCAGCAAAGTAAAGGAAACACATATCAACATGTTGGTTCATGATTATGAACTCTTTCAGATGAAAGAAGGAGAATCTATTGAAGAGATGTTTGCCAAATTCAGCAAAATCATTAGCGACCTAAAAGCTTTTGGCAAACCATACTCAAGTGGTGATCAAGTTAGGAAGATTCTTAGAAGCCTACCAACTACTTGGTAGACCAAAGTGGTCACACTTCAATCACAGGATCTGAATAAGTTATCATATGATGAACTTCGAGGAGAACTCATAGCATCGAGAAAACTCATCTCAAGAAAACAAACCAGGAAGAAAAGAAGAAAACTGTTGCGTTCAAGGCCACAACTGAAATACTAGAAAATGATATCGATGATGACCTTGAAGCTCTTCAAGAAGGGATTGCCATGGTGTCAAGAAACATGGATGGTTTAATGAGAACATACAGGAATGCGAGAAGAGGAAGGATGCCACCCAGGCGATCTAGGCAATATAATGAACAAGACAAAAATGATGG